TTATTTTTTGGAGCAGTGTATCTACAGTGTAACTGCTTTCATGTGTGTGACTGATGTTCTTCATTTTTACTTGAAGTTGGACTGTTTTTCATGATGTTTTAAATACTGTTCCAGCATTTTTTTAAATCCTGGAAACCCATTCTTGTTTGTTGTTTTGGAGTTTGTTTGTTTTTTAATTACTATTAAAAGAATTTAAATTGTAGATGCACCTTTGGAGCCGTGGCTAAAAGACAGAGCATACTTTGAAGTCACTAGTTTTTACCTTTCATAAAGATAACAATAACATCCAGAAACTCTTGAAAGGAGAGGTAGCCATTGCCATCTTTATCAGCTAGTGTAAACATGGAGTCCACAAATAAGGAATCGGATTTGAGGCCAAGTGCATCAGCAAACTCCGACGCCGTCAGCTCACACTGGAGAACCTCCCTGGCTTTCTTGTGGGATATGCCACTCATGTCTCCGGCGTCACACTTCTCTATTTCCAAGACCTGTGAGGGAAGTGTTATTACATGTCACCATAGTGTCATTACTAATATCACAAACGTCAGCAGCATAATGTCATGGCAGGTGAGATCACAATCAAGACCAACAATTAGTTCTGTTGGTTTGTGGTCTGTCTAATTTGACCTTCAACTAGAATTGACGACATTTTGCGGCTAAGCACAAAGCTGCTGCCACAGGTGACAGGAGACAGAATGACATAAACATCCAGAAGGTGACTGTACCTTGGAGAAAGCGTGGCGAATGAAAGTTTCAACAATCTGAGCCCTCTGCTCTCTGGTCAAAGCCTCCTTCAGCAGTCCCTTCTCCCTCATCTCTCTGACTTTAACCTCCGGCCTGACGTCTGTCACCTCTGGGCGCAGTTGCCTGACAAATTCCATACGTTTGCTCTCTTCATCAAAAAACAGCACCTGAATGTGTAAAACATTATTTAAAAAGGAAGAGGGTGATAAAAGCTATGGATTTTAATGATGCATGCATGCATCTAGGACCAGATGAGGTGGAAAAAAAGGGGGGGGGCATCACTTTGTCAGCGAGAACGTTGGTGCCTGCACCAGATGCTGCAGGGGCATTTCTGGGTTTTTGGTAATCTGATTACAACTGTATCCATAGGTTAAAACCATCTTATCCCAGTACTCACCAGGTCATACTCTTTTGGCACTTTGAGCAGCAGAGCCTTCTGCTGACAGTCGTTGGAGAGAACGACATCTAGGTAGTCCTGGTTGCGCAGATTGATGCAGCGGTGAGCAGTTCCAGATCTGTCACAGACCTGCAGCCTCCGCTTCTCATCGATCTCCACGCTGACGGGCTGCAACTGTTTTTTATGACCCTGCCACTCGTGTGCTAGAGAACATAAGCAGAATGAGATGAAGGTTGTGATAGTTTTCTGGATAAAATATGGAGGAGTCTAAAAGAACATGAGCAGAGAAAAACTAAAGACTTCTTTAACCATCTCCAGCTTTTCTTGTTTCTAGTAGGTTTAAGGTCAACTATATCCTTAGATTCATTAGTATTATTAGATGAGATATTTTTACAGTTATATTCACACAACTGGCTCATTTTTTAATGAGACATAAATCATAGCTGATGACATAAACTGACATTGATCTAACCCAACAATGGACACTGCAAATAAATAACGTTTGAAGCTTTTCCTTTTAAATCTTATTTTGATGTCATACCACTGAGTCCCACAGCCGGCTCATCTGTTCTGTCACCAGCTTTCTTTCTTCTTTGGAACTTCCTGTAGCGATACTTTCTTAGATACGCCACCGTAGAGGCCACCAGAAAACTCACTGTAAAGGAAAACAATCAAATGCTTCACATTCAAATCAGAGTTTTTGCCAGGCAAGAAGACAGCGAGACCGTGACGATACTTACCAACAGGGAAAAGGAACATGACAATAACAAATATCCCAAAGCCAGCTCTGCTCCCATCAAAGTAATCAAGTTTTGTGGCATTAGTGCAAGAATGGAGCATTGATGCATTTAGCTGTGTGGGTTGAGGGCAGGGGTCACCTAATGACAACAAAGAGAGCTTTTTTTTATTTTAAAAGGACATATTTATATATAAAACTGAAACTTTTTGATTATAGACTTAATTTATTTGTACCATCCTTCCAGAAGAACACGTTATTCTGTATATGTGAGGCCTCTGCACTTGTCACCGCAATAAGGACGTCACGATACGTCACACTGCGGACCGCTTGGATCTCTTCATCCGTAAACAAACTGGAACCCCAAGAAAAAAACACTGAGACGACTAACTCAAATGCAGTGAGTTTTCTGTTCAGAAGTTTGTAAATGTAAAGGATAAAATATTCTCTTTCTACTGTATGAGGAAACTGAAATTACCCATTCTGCTTATTCTCAAACCAAAAACGATCTCCATTTCTTATACGCTCAAACTGATCCAGCACAATAGCGGAGAAAACAGGACCCGGCCCATCAAGAGTTTCCAGCAGTCCTCCAGGAAAGAGCTCCAGCTTTGAGATGTCTCCATCATACAGTTCTGCAATGTCGCGAAGCAACTGTTGCAACAACACACACGTTTAATTCCCAGGATTAATGCCCAACTTTCTTTACTGTGTGTTTGGTTTTCAGATTTGTACCTGTGGGTTGGTGTGGTTGAGCTCAGGATTAATATCCTCAAATCTATTTACAGGAGGCAAATCCAGAGCCTTTCTAATCTCAGTGTAACTCCGTAGACCAAAGTCTCTTCCTCGCTGGATGGTCATAGCCACCAGATCTGTCCGGGTGAACCTCAACGGTCCGTACATAAAATCTATCAAAGTATAAATAAAATCAGAGCGCTGGATATTTATTTATTTATTGGGTAGTGAATAAGAAAGATTAAAAACCTCTCAAGTCCTCCACAACAATATTATCTTCTCTCTCTGCAATCTGGGAGGCCATTCCCATAAGGAGGTCATCTACATCCTGGCTTTTCTTCATATTAACTTCCTGGAAAAAAATGAATGATAGAAACATTTTAAAAGCTAGGAATGGGAAGTGCATAGTATAGTAGTTCAAGCTTTAAATTCTGTCACATGCACAATACTGTACACAGAAAAAAATACCTCTCTATTCCATCACCCTTTAACCAGTCATGGTGAAACTCAGAGACTCGGGTTGTTTTTTGTTCTTGGAGATAAACTGATAACTGATTAAACTGACATCATAAGAAACTGAAGGCTGACATCCAATAAATAGTCAATTGGTAACACGTTTACCTTTCTTTTCCTTTTTGTTTGGGGTGTTGAACTATTTCATTTCTTTCTGGTTTTTACATTCATTTCGGTTGTTTAAATTATTTTTGCGGTATATTTGAGTTGTTTATTTTACTTGAAAGTATTCCTACTTTAACAAAAAGCCAAATGGAACTGAACAAGACATTTACATAAAGCTAATTTTCTTTGGTCCTGTGTGTTGTGTGTGTTGGAGGTCTTATTTACTCCAACAAAGTTTGCTGCTGCCAGTCTCCTTCCCAAACCTAGTAGATCAGTGAGCGTAAATCTGAGTAAATCTGTGATAATTCTAAACTGGAAAGCTCTAGGTCTAAGATTCTTGATACAAGCCCTAGATTCAGATATTGTAGATGTTATACTTGGTGCCAGCAGTGTAGATCACTTTATTAAGATAGAGGGACACACGTCACGTTCAGGTTACAATGGCAAAAGCCAAAGTGGAGTTCTTCTTCCACACTGTCACCAAGTGCTTCCTCACACTGTTTGATTACTGGGGTTCTGTCACTAATACTGTACACTCTTTATCCTTTCAAATCACCTTGATAAAACTCTTACGGTGAGCTGGCAGCATTTACATAAAACTGAACTGATTAAATATCTTTTCAGTCATCCTTGGGATTTGTCTCTTTCTGTGTTTCCACTAAAAAAAAATAAACAACTACTTTGATCCTGCTCTCACTAAAAATCTTTAATACAAATAAGAACATCAAAATGAAAGCTGGTGGTGAAGCATGTGGTGCACTATAGCAAACTTAATAAAATGCAGCAGTCTAAACAAAACATACCTGACGTTTCCAAAAGCTGTTACAAAGGCGCATTGCTGGCGATGTGCTCCCATCGATGTTGATAATTTCCCGAAAATGGCAGGTTCTGTTTCTGTAGGAAAACAAAGCGACAACGCACAGTTATTCTCACAGCATCTAGATGTAGGGTTTTACATGGTGTCTAACAATATTCACAGCAGGATACTGAGCTTTTATTATTTCTCTCCAAAAGAAATATGGGAAGCAGTGGTATGTTTCTTTAAACTTGAGAGACATGTTCCCCATTCCCCCTGTTCCCAGTGGTCCCAGGAAATAAAGAATCGTTACCTCATGTAAACACCAGGTGGAGCCATAGTGATACCAAACCGTATGGCAGCAGCCTGAAACTCAGGCGAGATCCCTGGATCAACAAACTTCTGGTAACCTGCATACATGTAAGTCAGAACATAATAAAAACAAAGTGAAAAAAAGAGTGACAACAACAACAACAAGTCTGAATTACTCCTCAAGCATGCAAACTTCCACCGCAGTGAGCCAACAAAACGCAGTGAATAGAAGAAACTGTGAAAAAGTGACTGAGGTGATGGGATCATCTGACCATTATCTTCTAACTTTCTTCAGCCGTGGCTGCTTATTCAGCACAAGAAGAAGACTCGGGTTAATGCTTTGCTGACGGCACACACTTTTTGTCAAACTCCACCACCGATGGCTCACCTCACCACGGCTTGTGGTCACCGGTGCATGACCTGTTCTTCCCTGCTTCTACATGCACATGCACTCTGGCTGATTCTTACCTGGGTAGGGAGGAAGCTTTTTGCCATTAAGGTACGCAGGCAGCCATTCATAGAGAGCAATATTCTGTGTGGAAACAAGGCAGGAAAAACAGTCCGTTTTTTACATTTAAACTGTGCATGAACCAGGCATAACGCAGTAGATTGATGTGATAATGAATCCAGTAGCTTACATTTGAAAAATAATTAATTGCGGGTGAATGATCTATTGTTCTAAAAACAACCAAAAACATCAAGACATGGTCACTGCGGTTCATGACAGCTTGCGCAGGGAGCAGAAGTGCTAATCAAATGAGTGAGGGATGATGCATTCGCCTTTAACGACCACCTAGCATTGATGCAACCTTCTTCTCTCAAGAGTGCAAATTAAATCAGCATCTGTGCAGCGAGAGGATTACGTGGAGACTTTTCCATCTACCTGGAATGTGGCCACAACGGTCTTCCTGGCGTTTTGAAACAGCTCCTCGTCTGACCACTCTGGGTGATTGTTGTGGAGTTTGGAGGCGATATGATTGTGGTACCGAAACCAGATAATCCCCTCTGCTGCTGTGAACACGTTCTCGTTAGCCCAGGCATTTCCCAACTCTGGGCAGAGAAGAAGACAGAAAATCTAGCAAATTCTCCTCTGCCATCATTTCATTTTGCATTATTATCACAACACAATATACAGAAATTGCCTTTACAATTAATATTTTAAAAATAAAAATCAACCGAACGATCATTAATATTTCATGCATCTTTAGCCAAGTGTCCATTTCATTTTGTGTTGATTTTTCAAGATCTCTGACCGCTAATAGAACGATAATTTAGCTACTTGTTTTTAAGGACGTGACAACAGAGTGGTGACAAAAGGAGAAGATCCTCCCCAGACAGCCAACAAAAACACTGGTTTCATGACACCTGTATGCCATCTTCTCTGCTATAAAGAAAGGGATTTACTGTGGTTGGCGTGACAGGCCATTTACAAAACAACTACAGAGTCATAACCCACGTCAGTCTGGGCCTCCCTTGACTCACCCTGGCAGACTGTAACACAGACTGAGGGTGAAGAAGTATTTGCATACATTTTTTGGGTGTTTGTTTTCTTGATTTCGTGGATATTACCACATGGCGTGCAAAGGGAGTTATGTGATTTGGACATATATAATGTGCAATCACAATGATTTAGTGATGCTTACAAAACAAAAACATATACACTGTGTGGACAAAAGTACTGAGGCACCTGCAGTTTTAACTTAGAGGGGCATGAAGTTCCCAGCTCACCATTCTTGTGCTGATGTTAATGCAGAGAAGGTTTAGACTTCTGCAGTTATTGAACCAGCAGAGTGTTGGCAACTTTTCCACACTATCTGCCTCACTTGGCAACTCTGTAACCTTACATGGTCTGCTGTTTTGTGTTGCTATGGTTCCTAAATGCTTGAACTTAGATCTACAGGGAAGAAATTTCACAACCTAATTTGTTGCAATGGTGACATCCTGCTATAGTATCACGCTCAAATCCAGTGAGCTCTTCAGAATGACCAAATCTTACACAACTGTCTACAAAGGCTGACTCCATGACTGGTGCTTGATTTTATACACCTGTGGTGATAACAGTGTCATCCTGTCTCCCTCTAACCCCAACTGGCTGTGGCAGATCACTACCCTTCCCTGAGCCTGTTTCCGCTGGTGGTTTCTTCCTGTTAAAAGGGAGTTTCTCCTTCCCACTGTCACCAAGTGCGTCTTTAAAGTGGGTCATTTGAGTATTGGGATTTTCTCTCTATCCTTCTAGGGTCTTTACCTCACAATATAAAGCACCATGAGATGACTGTTGTTGTGATATGGCACTATATAAATAAAACTGAATTGAATTGAATAAAAACACTGAATTTAAGAGGCGTGGCCCAATATTTTCCATATAGTGTATGTGAAAAACCTCAGTATCAGTCTCGATATATAATGACTTCCTCTTACTTTTTTTAAGGAGAAGAAAATATTCAGATAATAGGCAACTGCATTGTTAAGTTTTGGCACACTAAATGTCATCTCTTGGAAACAACATTAAGATTTAAAAAATGTAAAATAATACTATTTGTGTGGGCTTCCCAGACTCCATTTGTAGAAAATAATTACGTTTTTAAAAAGCTATTCCCTGCATGCTATATGTCCTCCTACATGTAACTATTATAATTACATATAAGAGGGTTAATTTTGTTCCTTTTTTATATTATTTATATTTATATTTAGTGATCTTGTCAAATGGGAAATTAGTGTTTGACACTGTCAAAACGTTGTTTTTTCACCATAAAGGCCTTGTGCTACAGCTTCTCTTGTAGAGGGATCAGCAGCGCTCCACATCTGGTGTCCTCCTTTCTTGGGCATGTTCCACTCAGAGCCTGAAGTGAGGAGGCCTCCAGAGAAGCTTCTCCGGGAGTCGGACCAGGAAGTGGAGGGGCCATAAATAGAGCTACCATCTATCCAGGCGGTCACCAAGTTGACCTGTATTATATAGTGTGCATGTCACATATAAATCAGGAAAAAACTGCCCATACCGTGCACAGAGACACATTTACTCTGAAGACTGCAGCAGGACCTTAGACGCAACACTAGTTTACAATGGTCAAGATAGAATTGGTACCTGTATGCGAGGGTTACTGGGACTCTGTCCTGACTCTTTGTCCCACGGTCCTCTTTGGAAGGGCAGGAGGACTTTCCCAGAGGCGGTCGGGTCAAAGACAGGATCACCTTTTGGGACTGGGATGTGCATGAACTCAGGTGGGCAACCAGGAGTTCTTGAGTCAAAAATTTCAAATGTAACATGATAACCTGAAAAAATGGAAAATAACTTCCTTTTACCTGCTTTATACTGTACTACATATATTAGCAGTTGTCAGAGTGAACCAGGCGCTCAGATGACAGTAAAACTTATTAAACGTGTCCAATAAGGGAAAAGCTGAAAGCGTTTTTTGTTGTGTTAACTAAGTACTGTGGAAAGTTCACAGTGATTCAGTGGTCATTAAAATGTGTCCAGCATTTGCACATTTATGATGATTCATCCGGTGAATCATGTCACACTCCTCTCCCCTAGATAAGTTGCCTTTATCGGTATTGCCTTTATCGGTAAAAGTATCGGTATTGTCATTGGTATAGGCGACACTAGCCATGAATTTAATTGTTATCAATTTCCCAAGTATCGCACACCACTATCTCAGCAGACATCTTGGTAACGCCTCCGAACTCTTATTTTGAAGGATGATCTAAATTAACATTAATTTCAGAGTCAACAAGACGTAAAACTACACACACTGAAACACCAATCAAATCCGACCTTCATAATGCGTGAAAGGTTTGCTGTATTGGCCCTAAATTACGTTTTTAAAAAGTTTCCCACTTGAAGGTGCACAAGTAAATTTCCAGTCAGGATTCTAGGCGTGCCATGTTTCAGTGTCAGTAATATCTGTGCTTTGTATCCTTATTTTGCTCAGCGAACCATTTTATTTTACATTATTTATATAGCTTTATATTTACCAAAGAAAAGCGAGAGCACGGTCTGGTTGCGTGTGGAGGGGAGACCCGAGGGCCCCTCCGCCAGCAGCCTACTCAGTCTGCGGGGGTTTGGAAGCAGCGGCTCCTGGACAGGATGGTAGACTCCGTCCCAGTAATGCGCGGGCACGAGGCGCATCAGATGAGTACCTGCGCGAGCACAAGCACAGCGCGGTGATGTAGAGTTTGCAGAGTTCACCGCGGCTGCACACTTGAGCAACTCCTTGACTTACCGACAGCTCCGCGTCGGGGATATCCCAGACTGTTGTACCAGCCGTCAAAGCGAGGAACCTCCCAGGTTATCTCGCAGTGCGAATCTGTTCGGTACATGTCGAGCAAATTGGAATTTATTTTACATTAATAAAGTTAAAAGAGTCTGAAAACACAGTCTTTGCTTTCTACTTACGTTCACTAACAGTGAGCACCAAGCCAAACGCAGCACACACACTCCAAACCCATTTACGCAAATCCATTGATGCGAGAGGTGCTCCTCAGCGCAGGATTCGGCCAAGAGGAGTAGTTGAGCACTGAGAAGAGAAGACGGAGTGAAGGTAACTTGTATTTCCTTTTATATCCTTATTAACATGTAATAGAGGCTAGTTTTTAAACAAGGCTGCTTTAACAGAAAGAAGAAAATCCCTCCAAGTTTAACTCGACTGCGCTCTAGTTTTTTCAAACAAAAAGAAAAACTTGACAAAAACCTAAACTGCACCGCTTCATCGCGACAGTACCATTTAACGTGTATTTAATGTCTATTTAACTCTAGTCCAAAGAAAATATCATGTGTCTTTTATCTCTTAGTATCTGACTGAAGATGAGCAAGTAGTTGATTCTCACCTACTGCAGAGGTTGAAGTGTTGAGCAGAATAGTTCAGTAGCACAGGTGCTGCGGAGGGATGGTGCAAAACTAAAGTTTAAATGTGCTGCACAGCTTATCACAAACTGAATGTGACCTGTTTCCCAAATGGGAATGGCCAACATTCCTGGATCACACCTCTTTTCCACAGTATTCCAGTTAATGCATCCTCCTCCCTGGTGAAACGAGGGGGGGCCCTGCTGGTATAAAAGAAGCCTATGCTTCTTCAACCTTCACACTTCCTTCTCCTTCAGTGATCACTGACTTAACTTTAAGGTAAGATATCTCTATCTCTATCTCTAAGATATTTCTATACAATAGGTTCATTGAGTTTTTGTCATTATTATTATCATGATTATTTAAGGTGTGATTGAACACACTAAAATCAGGATGGAGCAAAGAGAAGAGCAGTGATTTACATCACAGTGGCAGAGGTGGCTGAATGGATGTATAGGATTGCATGTGTTTGTCTGTTAAACAGATGCATTTATTTCTTTGCAGCGAAGGCACACAGTGCCAGAGAAGTTAATAAGGCGGCCATGTTTATGTTTAATCATGCCGTGTTACATAGTCGTAGTAATGTAACGCACCTTATCAGCTGTGAGTAACATGAGTGTCTATCTCTGCATCTGGGTGGGGAAACTGAGAACTCTGTCACTAACACTGTCTTCTCTGTTACGCTGTCTAGTCTCAGTTGTGTCTGTAAGAGCAGAAGCTAAGATGACTTTCTACGATGACATTTACCCATTCTACACTCTACAAAGGACTCCGTTTATCTTCAGCAGCCGCTTGCTCACCATTATTCTGGTCTTCCTTGTGTTAGCGGTCAGTCTTCTTCTCATTCTGCCCGGGATACGAGGGAAGTCGGTGAGTGCAACCAAGTCCAAAAAAAGAAAAACTATTACTCACTGCAAATGAGTGACGAAACCTCACAATTGTTCTCTCTCTTTCTGCGCCTCTAACAGTGGTTGCTGAAAAGTGCAAAAATAATAGCAGTTGTAATGCTGTCATTTCAGTTTCCTCATCTTTTTTTTCCATTCTAGTCACCTGAAATAATTTGTCTCTGTCTCTCCCTCTCAGCGGCTCTTCTGGACATTTAGAATAGTTACCAGCTTGTTCATTGGTGCCGTGATAGTGGGTGAGTTTTGCATTCGTATTGTTTTTCAAAGATTTTATTCTTCCTGCCACCTTTGTTTTCTAGACTTTCAAGTTATCTTTTTCCCTGCAGCACTCAACTTCACTAACGACTGGGCCGAGGCCAGAATGACCACGAAAGCCACCTATAAGTCTTTCAGCAACGCGGTGGTTAACGCCGAGATCGGCTTGCATGTCGGACTGTACGGCATTAACGTTACGCTGAAAGGTGAGTCACTGTAAGCAACCTGTGACATCTCGTCAAATATTCCTGCAGTTTTTATTGTGAAAGGAGTCGGTGCTACAACAACATCTTCTGGAATTACACGTCAGAAAAGTTCCTTTTTTATCTGTGTTGCTTAGTAGTATTTACATCTGTTTGATCTCACTCAGGGAATCCTGTCGTACAGTTTAATGAGACCATTGACTACAATGAGATGTTCACCTGGCATGACACTATCGAAGAATATGAGGAAGCTCTGGAGAAAGGTTTACCCAACCCCATTCTGTATATTGCTGAAAAATTCACCCCGAGCAGCCCGTGTGGTCTCATCTTTCAGTACAGACACTCTGGACGATACGCTTCTGCAACGCTCTGGTGATTGTTAATAACTCATATCTTGATTTTGTCAAATAATACCTCTACGCTCTAATTTTCAGCGATGTAGAAATTCAAATCCCTGTGCAATAATTGCTCCACAGGACAGCATTTTGCTGCTGGATGCTCGCCAACATCCTTTTCTCCATGCCAGTAATCCGGTACGCCGGGTACATGGTGGTTGCCACTGCTGCATTCATCTTCTTCTCCATGATCTCCTTCACCACCATCATGAATGTGCCTCAGTGTGTTTTCTACATAGGAACTGACTCCTTTGAAACAGAATACAGCCATTCGTTTTGGCTGGCCCTGGCTACAGGTAAACACATGAATTTGCAGATAGATTTTGCACGTTTTGCTCTTGAATTGATCATTCCAAGCCCGACTGTTACTAACTCAGATGATTTTCAGGCATCCTGTGCACCCTCATTGGGCTTCTTGTGGTGATGTTTGACTTTTTGGTCCCTGAGAAGATGAAAGAGGCTTTCAGTGTCGGTGTCGACGGCTGTGAAGACGAGGATGATTCATACAGTGAGGGCTACCTGAATTCCTTTTTCCTCGATGGAGTGACAATTTCACCAGTGAATTTAAAAGTTACAGAGGTAAGTACATTCATGAGGGTGGTTCATGCAGTTTTTGAGAAGATTAGTAATCAACAAATTAACATTCTGCTGCCTGTTAATATCTCAATCATTTGTTTAAAGCAGCAACAGTTCTTACCTTTAATATAAGTAAATTCTACTGTGGGACAAAACCGAACAGTGTATTAATAAGGCATTCCCATAGTTAGTTTATACGGCCGCCACAGTCAACTTTATATCCATGATAAAGACGTCGTTCAGCTAACTTTGATCGTTTTCTTTCTGTGTTACAGGAACATTTATGAAGCTGTGCAGATTCCCTCTCAGGGAGATTTCATTGTTCATACTTGAAAATATTTTTTGTTGAATGTGTTACAGTTAAAGTCTCGACTTTCACATGTGTCTGTATGAGCCTGTAAATAATAATGTCTTAAAATTGAGTCCACTGTAAATAGTCACATTTGTAAAGGTCACTCTCGTGTTGTAGTAGCTGTAAATAAACATAACTTTGTATGGGATCCATACAATGTGTATATAGTGTGATGAGTGTGGATGGTAGAGCTCTCATTGTTTTGCTTGTTTGGTAATGAAACATGAGACAACGCAGATAATTGTACACAGAGTATACACTTTAAGAATCCGCTTTTTTTAAGGAAATGCACATTTGGTTTTATTTACATTAAAATGATCAGAAAGTTGGTCAAAGACATTGACTTATTAACAAAATTAAGCCTACTCGATCCAAGAAATTGCTTAAAAACTGAAGATGTAATACGACAGCACGCGCTACTCCCTCCAGAGACCAGCGCAATCTGGCTCTCACCAGAAAACATTAGAGTCTCTAGTTTCAGAAACACAACTCCTAAGCTGGCAGCATTATTGAATACCTGCAAGAGCCAGATGGCACAAATTTACGACGGGACTGGTGAACACATTTCTGAACATTTAATGATATACTAAGCAAAAACAAATGTGCTTTTTATTTCTAAAAGGAGATTTCTAAGCAACCCCACACTAGTGAGAAGCAGCGAGAGCCCGAATGTTGGAACATGTGGTTTTCTTGCATCAGATTCATGCACACACAGTGCTCTGATAGGTTGAACTGATTCTCTTGTAATCCTGTTAAATATGTTTTTTTCTGTCCTGTAATTATTTTAAAAGCTGAATAAAATGAAAACAAACAAGTGCTCAGCAGTGAAACTGTATTTTCTGTGTTATAACTGTACATTCACCAGTATTGTATATTCTGATACATTCTTGTACGCTCTGGTAAAAGTAATGATCATCCATATACTGTATGTCCTTGAAAATTAAGAGTGTCTTTGGCCTTCAGCGTCACCACAATACACAGAGTTCAGTGCCTTTGTACAGCATCTTATTATCTTCTTTTGATACTAATTGTAATAGATTAACATGTTGGATTGAGAATGAATCCCTGGTCAGTAAATCGTATTCTTCATTATCACATGCATATACTGCAGAAGTTATATGGCCTTTCCAATCAAGTCCTTGAGAAATCCAAAGTATTTACAGTAGAAGTACAATTTTAAACTCCATACACATTATAAAAATGACTAAATAAAAAATAAATGTACTAATTTATCTCTTCATAAGAAAATAAACATGACCGTAAAGCTACTTTTCTTCAACACCATAAACTCACGTACAGTACTACAGACAGAGTATTCACATTGTAAGGCCATTATGACGATGTAATTCAAGATAAAACCTGGGAAAATGAGAAACGGATGTTCTTTACAGCGTCGCGACAACAGGCCAAAAAACCCCAAAATGATAGAAAAATAAATTCTCCTCGTCCCACTGAGCCACCCGTCTTATTGTTGTCACGCAGCCAGACATGCAGAGCTACAGTGGGGCTGATCCATGCAGGGTCCTCTATATGTAGACGGGCGTCTCCTGTCCCGTCAGCAGTCTGAACATCACAGCAGGCATCGTCTTCATGTTGATCTGGCGCAGAGGGAGACATGAAAGAAGCAGGGTGGGTAAAACGCAGGGTGTCAAACATGTGGCACACGGGCCCTGAATTGGCACCCCAAAGACTCTGAGGCGGCCCACAGGAAAGATTTGGGACTTTTAACTGCATTTTTATAAATTGTACAGTTTTTTTCTACTGATAAAGGCCTCCTTCACGATTGTTCGTACTACACCTAAGTTAAAGAAAAAAACAAAACAATGAAATGACAAAGAAATCCTATTTTTTCACCATCTAATAGAAGAGTTTCTATTTCTTTATGGTATCTTTTAAAAAGCAAGAAAAAACTTTGCTTTATTATTACAGGTCAGTCTGGGCAATGAGATACATTTTCTGTGCTTTTACACATCTATTACTTACAGTTTAGTCCCAAAGTGTCATGCTTACAGATTTCTTCCATTTACTACAGCAGAATTTCTTTATCATATAGAAAAACTGAGACATGCAGCTAAAATTGTACTTCTTTTTTTGTATGTGAAGATATCAGAGGGGTTCTGACTGGGGTTAAACTTATCCCTCGCCTGAAGGTCAAAGTGGGCTGTATGTGGCCCACAATGTAAAGTGAGCTCCCCGGGTTAACCCATCAACTTCAGATGTATTTACACATGCACAGATATGTAATCGGCCCTAATTTACTTGTCCCACCAGAGACGGAGAAAAGGATTCAGATGTATTGCTGTCAAACAGAGATCTTTTCTATCAGAATGTACACTTGAAGAAATTACAGAGAAAATTAAGTTAAAGTTTTAAATAAGTTGCTAAACCCACATATTCGGTACATATTTTTGATTATGTTTAACTTTATTTACAGCATTGAAGCATTGAGCATCACAACACAGCTTTTCCCATAAAACTGGGATCTGAACCATCAGGTCTCCTCTGTATTCTCCATCCATTTGTTTGTGTTTAATACTAGTTTGATATGTTGCCATATTCATTTACTTTGGTCAAGAGTTAAAAGATGCATAACAATTTCCTGAAAAAATAAAAAAAAATCAATGTGAAGCATGAGCTGCCCGACAGTTAGTTTGAAACAGCTGAGTTTATCTAATTGGTTTCATGAAACGGCAAACAACATGATGGTTTTATTGGAGTTAATGTGCTGGACTATGAGTCAACAAGGAAGGGCAAAAGAATTTCCCAAAATGTTCCTTTAAAGCACGCTCATAGGGATAAATTGTAAACTTGCACTCAAGGAAATAGATTCCTGTAATCACTGTGAAAGTACACAATAGTTAATTACTCTGGAATGGGAGTTTTCTCACAAACATCCTGTACTAGTCACTTTTAATTTAAAAAATATTTAACCATGGTTTGTTTAATCACAGGATTTTATTGACTTTATTGACCCATCACTTACAGGCATTCTGTGGCCCTGTGTGTACCCAGTGATTTGGCTTTAAACGAAACTCTAATGTGCATGCATCTATGAAAGGCCTGTGTGGCACAGTGTTTGTGTGGTGCAGTAATCGGAGAAAATTGCCATCTTGTGTCATGAGGAGTTCCTACCTCACCCACAGAGATGGACAGGGTTTGAACTATCTTCTCGTGTGCCATGGCAACGACACTCTGACCATTTATTTCAATGATTCTGTGTCCAACACGAACGCCGCCTCTCTCAGCGATGCCGCCTCGCATCAGGCTGCAGATCTGAGGAAGCAAAATAACCCCAAATGTGTAACTGCATCATAAATACCAACACTCCCAGTCAACAAGGGGATATTTGTAAATATTAACATATTTTTGGCATGTACTACAATAGCTTTCATGGTTAACAGTTCACAGTTCCTCATTTATCTTGGCCCTGGTGCAGCAGCTCAAAAACTATCAGAGCAGAATGTGCCTGAGCTTTTGGCTCACAGCAATTATTTGTACATACGCTGACCTCATTATTGCTATTTTTAACATAAGAAGCCATCATTGTAATGCTATAACATGACAAAAAAAAACTGCATGCACCTAAGCATTTAATAAGCCTGAGTTGAAAGTTCAATCTTAAGTTTACAGTCATGGTAACGAGTGATACGGCTGCACTCACAATGCCATTTTGAACACTGAAGCCGAGCTGGAACTTGAGATCGGGTCTCTTGATGAGGACGGTGGTGACAGGAGGGCAGCTTACAATACTCAGCTTTACCTTCACCTGGTTCTTCAGACCCTGGGACACATTCAGAAACGCATTCACATGTTTTCAGAAGTCAAAAGGTTTGTGGAGGTGGACTAAAGATGGTGCCGTCCCTGTGCTTATGTGGTATTTCTATGTGCTTGTTAGTGTCATGGTCAAAATTACATTTATTCATTCGTGTTCTTCTTTCCTGTCCACTTAATCCTTTTAGGGTGAAAAGAGGGACCACCTAAAAGTCCACTAATATTTAGGTACTTTCACTGTAATTAATAATGATAATGGAATGGATTTATATAGCGCTTTTCAAGGCACCCAAAGCGCTTTACAATGCCACTA